TTAAACTCTGTGGTCCTGAGTAGTGTCATTGAGATATCTTATGTTGCTTTTTAACCTTTTAGACAAAAACCATTTGAAAGACCTAGAGGAATGAGACCCATGACTTTGTTTCTTCTTGTGTCTCCATCCTTCTCATCTTCCCAGCACCAAAAGCAGCACTCCAAATATAGTAGATGCTTAGTAAATTAATTACCGAGTGATAGGGCACTACCACTGAATGAAGTGCTCGTGGATAGATTTGGAATAATCATTTCCATGTCTCACTCACATTTAGCTTCTTGAATGTTCATTTCCTAAGAAGCTCTACACTTCTTATGGCTAATGAATTGAAGCACCCCTTCCTGATTCCATTCTCTGTGAAGGAGCTACATGTCTTGTAAAGTATGGTTTATCAGAATAAGTAATATGCTCCTTAAATTTGTTTTGTCAGTATGTACTTTTTAGTCCTTTGGAAACTTTGGAACCCTGAGGAACTCAAATCCCTTCGTGGAAATCAGGCAAAACATGCTTGGAAGAATTTGTCTTTAATGAATATGAAAGCATTTTGCAAATGTCATACTTTTTTTCTGCTCTGTGATTGTGGACAAAATGCAGACCTCTGGATCATGACTGGACAACGGGTTATAATGAGGTGGATAACCTTGCAACATAGCAAAAGCAGCATAGGCTTTGTCAGGTGGTCCAGGGTGCAAATCACATCCAGCCTCACTAGCTATGTGGCCTTAAGGTAGTTTTCTGACCTCTCTGGGCCTCAAGTTAATTATACTTTCTTTGCAGTGCTATTACAAAATTTATAAGAGTATATGTACTATGTCTGTCATGTGTTAATTCCCAACTATGGCCATTGTTAATATTATTACTTATGCAGTGATGTTGAGAATATAAAAGACATTCAAATGGTGGACTGAACACAGAGCCACATGGAAGAAGGCAAGCACAGCCTGGACTAGGTGTTAGGGCTACACTCTAGCTTCCACAAAGCTAGCTAAGTGGAATCGCCTGATAGCAACCAAGCAGACACAATCTCCAGGCGCTTCTATCAAAACCAGTCATACTTTAATACAGTCCATAAAAAAACTGTTCACTGTCTCCTGGTATAATCTCTATGGCCAAATTATTATCTGGATATTCATGCATAGGTACATGCAGTATGTTGGTCTCCTTGTCTTTTACCCCATACAAACTACCAGCTCTGCCTCCCTTCCTCTCCATCCCAACCCTGCCTTGGCTCTGGCTCTACTGCTTGTTTGCTGGATCCCTGAACTTGCCTTTTCTCCAGTCTCACTCCCCTACAAGTGCTTGTTAATCCTGCTGCCAGAGCAGTGGCTCCCCTGCCTCCCTATTGTCTAAAGGATAAATCATACTCTTCTGTAGCCCATACAAAATCCACCACCATTTCTCCCATCCACTTCCAGCCTAACCTCCTATCACTTCTTGCCATCATCTCCCCCGTGCCAAACTCTAGTTCCCTAAGAATACTGATGTATTTATAGGTCCCAAACACTCCATGTTCTGTACCGTACATGCAGTTAGTTCCTCCGGACTAGAGCCCTTCATTAACTTGTTCACTTGAGAAACACCTGCTGAGCTCTCACGAAGCTTCCCCTGATTCCTTTACTTGGCTTAGGTGCTCTCCTAACTACCCTATGCTCACCCCATCCTACACACAAATCTTGCCAAAGCAATTGCCTTACTGCAGTGTAATGGTAAGCCTGTTAGTTCTCCCAGAATTGGGGTATAAGGACCTTGCAAGGCTCCTTGACGATAAGAACTACATGTATTTTCATATTTGTGTCCCTAGGACCTAGCACAACATCTGGCCCATAGCAGGTGTTCAGTAAATGATGGTAATCATTTACATATCAGTTAGAAATGAGTGGCTGCAAGTGATAGAATAGTTGACTAGGAGTAGCTTGAAAAAATAATGAGTTATCTTCCATAGATAACAAGACTTCTGGGAGCAGGTGATTATTAGTGTTTATTAACAGTGTTCACAGATGCCACTGGGGGCCTTGGCTCGCTCTTTCTTCTTTCAGTCTATCCTCAACACAACAGCCAGAGTGATCTTGTAGAACATAAGTCAGACCACATCACATCTCTATTCACAACCCTACAATGATTTGCTCAGAGGAACATCAAAGCCCTTACGTTAGCCTATGAGGCCCCATCCAGTGTGCATCTGCTTTTTTTTCTCCATAGTACTTATCACTATGTGACATACTATATCTTTCACTTATTATACAGTATATATTATCTTTCTCTCCTGTAACCACTAAAATGCAAACTTCAAGGAAGCAAATGATTTTATATGTTTTGTTCACTTCTGTATCTCTAGCAACTAAAATAGTACCTGGCAGGGGCGCCTGGGTGGCTCAGATGGTTGAGAGTCTGCCTTCAGCTCGGGTCATGATCCCAGGGTCCTGGGATCGAGCCCCACATCGGGCTCCTGGCTCAGCAGGGAGCCTGCTTCTCCCTCTCCCTCTGCCTCTCTCCTTGCTCATGCTCTCTCTCTCTCTCTGTATCTCTGTGTCTCAAATGAATAAACAAAATCTTAAAAAAATAAAATAAAATAGTTCCTGGCACATAGTGGACATTCAATAAATATTAGTTGAATAAATAAACGAATGGATTCTCAAGTAAAACCACAAATGAGAAAGGAGAAATAACCAACACCACAGAAATACAAACAATTACAAGAGAGTATTATGAAAAACTATATGCCAACAATCTGGATAAATTCCTTGAAACATATAACCTCCCTGAAGTGAAACAGGAAGAAACAGAAAATTTGAGCAGACTGATAACCAGCAATGAAATTGAATCAGTAATCAAAAAACCCCCAACAAACAAAAGTCCAGGACCAGATGGCTTCACAGGCAAAAAAAAATGTTCTACCGAACATTTAAAGAATTATACCTATTCTTCTCAAACTACTTCAAAATACAAAAAAGGAAGGAAAACTTCCAAACTCATTCTGTGAGGCCGGCATTACCCTGATACCAACACCAGATAAAAACACCACAAAAAAGGAGAACTATAGGCCAGTATTTCTGGACATAGATGCAAAAATCCTCAACAAAATACTAACAAACAAAAGTCAACAATGCATTAAAAAAATCATTCACCATGATCAAGTGGAATTTATTCCTGGGTTGCAAGGGTAGTTTGATATTTACAAATCAATCAACGTGATACATCACATCAATAAGAGAAAGGATAAGAACTATATGATCATTTCAGTAGATGTAGAAAAAGCATTTGACAAAGTACAACACCAATTCATGATAAAAACCCTCAACAAAGTAGGTTTAGAGGGAACATACCTCAACAAAATAAAGACCATCTATGAAAAACCCACAGCTAACATTATCCTTAATGGGGAAAAACTGAAAGCTTTTCTCCTAAGGTCAGGAAAAAGGGATGTCCACTGTCACCACCTTTACTACTCTACATAGTAGAGAAAGAAAAGTACTGGAAGTCTTAGCCACAGCAATCAGACAACAAAAAGAAATAAAAGGAATCTGAATCAATAAGGAAGAAGTAAAACTTTCATTATTTGCAGATGACATGAGATATATATATATATATAGATATATAGATATATCTATATATATATATATATAAAACCTGAAAGAGCCCACCAAATGACATATCCAATCAAAGGTTAGTATCCAAAATATATCAAGAACTGATACAACTCAACACCCAAAAAACAATCCAATAAAAAATGGGTAGAAGAGGGATGCCTAGGTGGCTCAGTTAGTGAAGACTTCGGCTCAGGTCATGATCCCAGGGTCCTGGGATCGAGTCCCACATCTGGCTCCTTGCTCAGGGGGGAGCCTGCTTCTCCCTCTGCCTGCCACACTCCCTGCTTATGCCCTCTCTCTCTGACAAAAAAATCTTAAAGAAAAGAAACGATATAAAATGGGTAGAAGACATGAACAAGCATTTCTACAAAGAAGACATCTAGATGGACAATAGACTTATGAAAAGATGCTCAACATCACTCACTGTCAGGGAAATGCAAATCAAAACTATAGTGAGATATCACCTCACATCTGTCAGAATGGCTAAAATCAACAACACAAGAAACAAAAGGTGTTGGTAAGGATGTGGAGGAAAAGGAACCCTCATGCACTGTTGATGGGAATGCATACTGGTACAGCCACTGTGGAAAACAGTATGGAGATTTCTTACAAAGTTAAAAATAGAATTATCCTATGATGCAGCTATCGTACTACTGGGTATTTACCCAAAGAATACAAAAACATGAATTCAAAGGAATACATTCACCCCGATGTTTATAGTAGCATTATCTACAATAGCCAAGATACAGAAGCAATCTAAGCATCCATTGATAGATGAATAAATAAAGAAGATGTGGTATAGGGGCACCTGGGTGGTTCAGTCGTTAAGCATCTGCCTTCGGCTCAAGTCATGATCCCAGGGTCCTGGGATCGAGCCCCGCATCAGGCTCCCTGCTCAGCGGGAAGCCTGCTTGTCCCTCTCCCACTCCCCCTGCTAGTGTTCCCTCTCTTGCTATGTCAAATAAATAAAATCTTTAAAAAAAAAAAAAAGATGTGGTATATACGTACAACGGAATATTATTCAGCCATAAAGAATGAAATCTTGCCATTTGTAATGACGTGGATGGAGCTACAGAGTATAATGCTAAGTGAAATGAGTCAATCAGAGAAAGACAAATACCATATGATTTCACTCATATGTGGAATTTAAGAAACAAAACAAACAAGCAAAGGGAAAAAAAGAGAGCAAGACAAACCAAGAAACAGACTCTTTTAACTCTAGAACAAATATATGGTTACCAGAGGGGAGGTGGGTGGGGGAATGGGGTGAAATAGGTGAAGGGGATTAAGGAGGGCACTTGTTGTGATGAACACTGGGTGATGTATGGATTTGTTGAATCACTATGTTATACACCTGAAACTAATATTACATTATATATTAACAAACTAGAATTAAAATAAAAATATACATACATAAATGGATCTTCCTGTTCACTTTGCTTGGAGTCTTGGCTTTGTCTTCATCTTTGCTGCCTCTTTGGTTGTTGCTTTCCTGACATCATGCCAATGTCTAAGGCAGAAAGAAGAGGAGATGGGAAGAGTGGTGCCAAACACATGGGTCCCTTAGCAGGAAAACAAAACCTTTTTCAAAAGTCCAAGCCTGACTCCAGTTTACATCTCACTGGCTCAGGTTATGTCAGAAGTGAGAAAGGCTAGGAAAGCAAGGCAATAAGTGGGCATATTGCTTTCCTGAAGAAACCCGGGTTGGATACAGAATAAGCAACTAATAGAGTCTACTGTAAAACTGCTGAATGAAGACCCCAAGACTTAGGAACAGAGTAGAAATGCACCACCTTCTCCATGAACCATCTCTGTATCTCATCCATTCTTATCCCAGATGGCCTGCCTCTGGCCACTGGATTAACATGAAAGGGGCAGGCAGACTGTGGTCAGAAGCCCAGGGAGTTCATCAGAGATATTAGTGTCTGCTTCCTCGAAGCTGACCAGATAGACAGCATACTACAAGTGTTCAAATGATTGTGTCTCTCAGGCTCATAAGGATGCTTGGCCTGCTTATGGCATGCAGGCAAATAGCTTCTTCAGAACCTCTTACCTTGGTCACCAATGCCCAGCACCATCTAGCCTCTGGGTCCTCATACTGTACACGGCTAAAGAAACTCTGGCAACAGTTAAAGTGCCTAAGATGGGTCTAGTCACACAGAAATATTGATGCAATGTCCTCCAGGCTTGTTGTGTGATTTTCCTGGAAACAAGAGCCTTCTTCTGACCAGTGTATCTGTGCTGCTTAAATCCTCCAGGAGGTAACTGAAACTCACTTGAACTAGGAGAGAGCTGTGTGATGCTTTCTTGTATCTTGGGCCATGGTTCTCATGATATGTGTAGCAGAAGGCAGTCCAGGAAGAAAAGTCAAGTCAATAGAAGGTGCCAGGACCTTGAATGTTGAGGCCTGAAGCAAGGCATCATGATGAAAGTCCTTTCAGTTACTCCAGGTCTCACCGTGATTCCATCAGGACACTTGTCACTCTGTTCTTCACTAGGTTAGGAGCCCCATGAGGACAGGGACTGTGCCTGTTATTTTTACCTCTAGCATCGTGGGTGCTCAACAAATGGGCACTGAATGAATGAATGAATGAAGGACAGATTGTCTGAAAACAGCATATGACTGGAGGGTGGGAGGGAGTGGCTCAAGGGAATCCCATGTACGCTGTGGGCTGCACAGCGCTCCTCCACAGCCTCTGCATTAAAATCAAATATTATACCCAACTTCAAACTTACTTAGATTTTTTTTTCTACATTTGCTGACCTAAGCTCATTAACTTCAAGATTTTTTGTCCATGGTTGCCACTGAAAAGAAAGGAAAAAAAAAAAAGCCAGATTGTCCATAGAATTTGAAAACTTATCAAATAGTTCAGTATCAAGGTAGGTCACTCACAGTACAAAAATTCCATTAGTCTGTGATTCCTCCTTAGCTTTTTAATGTGAGAATATTCACCATTCAGGGGAAGAGCCTTGATACAAGTGAGACTGTTAGTATAATCCCCAAACATCTCTAATTAACCATGATTTCTTTTTAAAAAGTAATTGTAGTGTCTTCAGTAGCTAATCTTCCTCTCATTTAATTAAAATATCTGTCATTTTCTCAGATGTGACATCTGAGCACAGAGAGTCCCAAACCTTGCTAAAAGAGGAAAGGCAGGGGCGCCAGGGTGGTTCAGTCAGCTGAGTGTCTGGCTCTCAATTTCGGCTCAGGTCACGATCTTAGGCTTGTGAGACCAAGCCCTGTGTCAGGCTCTGCGCTCAGCAGGGAGTTGGCTTGAGATTCTCTCTCTCCCTCAGCCCCTCCCCCTTCTCTAAAATACACAAATAAATCTTTTTTAAAAATTAATAAATAAAAGAGGAAAGGCATTTTCCCTGTATCATGTCCTAGAGCATTTCCAGGGCTTATAATGGTAGAAAAAAGATCCTTTCCTGTCTCTTATGTCAGCCAGTGGCATTCTGTCCAGACTGTTCCCACACACTCCCACTCAAACGAATTGCATTTAAAGAGAATACGTTCTTAACCTGAACATTCCATCTGATTTATAACATTTCTTTCCTGGCCCCCCAAAATAAGCAAGCAAGCAAGGAAGCAAGCAAGCAAGCAAGAAAAGCTATAATTATAATCCTTCACAATCATGACCATCCTTAGCCTTGGGAAGTTTGTCAGTGAGGTGGAAGAAGAGAATTGCTTTTCAACTGTGCCATGTTAGATATCCACATGGCCACTGTCTCTGCTATTGCTTCTTTCTGCTTTCTGAAGAGGTGCAGGAAAGACAAGGTGCTTATGAAGTCACTGTCTATATAGGACTGTCCTATGTGATGTGAGGCCATGATCTGGCTGCCTCTTACAGTACAGCTTTTCATTCCAGGATAGCCCATTGTGCTGGCTGTTTTGGATGCAGCTTGGCATGAGCACAGAAAGTCCATACAACCACCCACAACTTGATCTACTAGTTGTGAACGGAAACTTTTGAACACGTTCCACCAGCTGTACAATGGTACCATTTATTACTTTATTCTCAGGGGAAAACATTTGCTGTGTGAATAATACCAGGGACTTATGTAAGCCTCTTCATTTTCAGGGAGCTTTATGGGTGTCAGCAAATTCACACAACACCGTGGTAAGGTAGCAAGGCATTGTTATGCCTTCTTTACAGAGAGAGAAACCAGATCACAGCATCAGATTTTCCCAAGGCCACATGGACAATAAGGGGCATGGACTCACTTCCAGAGAGACCCAAACTTTCCTGCTAGAGAGCACAATTTCCCACTTAGAGAAAGACTCCACAGGATTCTATCCTGGATCTAACACTTGAGGATAATCGCTCTGACTTTCGACAGCTCTAACGCTGCCTCATTCTTTGGTTTTGTCCAGATGGACAAAAAGGGAAAGACAAGATGGGGTACCCATATAGGATAGTGTGGAGGTTTGTCATCTCTCATATACCTTGTCATTGAGGAATTGTCCAATCTATAGTCACAGGATTACAGAAGAAGGTGCTGCGTATCCATATAGCTCCATGAAGTAAAAAGGAACTTTTCTACAATATAGGATGGATTTGTTGATTCCAATTGTTACTTAGGAGATTGAGAAAGAGTCTTCCTTATCAGCTCTGGGAACATGCTAAATACCTCTGGAGTGGGTTGAATTGTGACTTCCAATAAAGTATGTACAAGTCCTAACCCTCATACCTGTGACTATGACCTTATTTGGCAAGTGGGTCTTTGCAGGTGTAATTAAGGATCTCAAGATGAGATCATCCTGGATTTGGGGGTGGATCTAAATCCACTGACAGGTGTCCTCATAAGATAAAGGCAGAGAGAGATCTGAGATACAGACACACAGAGGAGAAGGCCATGTGAAGACAGAGGCAGAAACTGGACTTATTCAGCTAAAAGCCAAGGGAATTTTGACAGTTGTCAGCAGCCACCAGAAGTTAGGAGAAAGGCATGGAATGGATTCTCCCTTGGAGCCTACAGAAGAACCAACTCTGCCAACACCTTGATTTCAGGCTCTGGCCTCCAAAACTGTGAGAATAAATTTCTGTCTTTAAGCCACCTAGTTTGTGGTAATTTGTAATAGCAGCCCTAGGACACTAATACATCCTCTTCAGCTTCTTCTCCCAATACTCAGAATCATGAGTTTTAACTCAATTCAAAGCTAAAAGGTAGAAGTGCCTGGGTCGCTCAGTCAGTTAAGCATCTGACTCTTGATTTCAGCTCAGGTCATGATCTCAGGGTCATGAGATCGAGCCCCATGTTGGGCTCTGCACTGGGCGTAGAGCCTGCTTAAGATTCTCTCTCTCCCTCTGCCGCTGCCCCATGCACACACTTGCTCTCTCTCTCAAAAAGAAAAAGAAAAAAGCTAAATACATACAATGACAAATCTTTTATTGTGTGTGTGCCAGTGGTAGAGGGTATTAAAATTCTAAAATGGTTGAAAATTACTCTCCCAGATAACCAATATTAGTGAATGAAGAATTGGATTATCTTGACTTACTCCACTGTGAAGGTAAAAGGGACAACATGAAGAGAAGAAAAATCAAGAACCAGTGGAATGAATTCAAATTCGATCACAAAGCACCATAGTTTTTATACCTTATCTTCTTCAGGCCACTGCCCCAAGGAACACAAAGCAAAGCACAGTGTAGCCTTTAAAAATAATAAAGTTATAATTATGATTAATTTAGTAAAAATTTATTCTACAAATTAAACTATTACAGAAATTCATAATGTAGAAAATATCCACCTCCAATATGGTACACCTTCCTCTAATTTTTTTCTCTCTAAATATATGAACACTCTGTCTCTTTCCCCAACCTTTTAAGAACTGGAATGGAGAGTGGGTCTGCAGGATAGCCTGGTGTCTACTAGATTTTTGGCCTAATTTAGTTGGATTAAAGGAATGCCTGCTGAGTGGTCCTGAATATAAGTCCTATTTCTTGCAAACCTTGGGTCAGGCAACTCTGAGTCCTCTGAGTACACATACCTGACATGAGATTACACTTTTGGTTAGAACATAGATTGGTATATTTTTCCTATTAAGGGCTAGATAGTAAATATTTTAGGTTTTGTGGGCCATACGGTCTCTGTTGCAACTAATGTCTGCTAATACAGTAGAAAAGCAGTCATAAATGAAATGCACATGAATCACCATGGCTGTTTTATTACTATTTTATTACTGCATAGCAAATGACCACAAACTTAGTGGCTTAAAACAACACTCATTTATTAATTCTAGTACTATAGGTCAGAAGTCTAGGTGGGCTTAGGGTCTGACAGGCCTGATAGGAAGGTGTTGGCCAGAAGGGCTCTCATCTGCAGGCCCTGGAGAAGATTTTGCTTCCATACTCACTCAGGGTATTGGAAGAATCCTGCAGCTTGGGGTTGTAAGATTGATATCCCAGCTTCCTTGCTGCCTGTCAGTGGGGGCCATTCTCAGTCCTCAGGGCCATCTCTCAGGTCTCTCATAGTCTGTTCATAATATGAATGTTGCTCTCTTCCAGACCAGCTGGAGGACATCTCTAACTTGCTCTTCTATTCCCAGTCAGGGAGAACTCTTTACTTTCAAAGGGCTCATATGATTAGTTTAGGCCCATCTGAGTAATTTCCCCAAAGACTAACCCAAAGTCAACTGATTAGTAACCTTAATTACACCTGCAAAAATCCCTATTACCATACAATGTAACCTAATCACAGGAGTGAAACCTCATTATATTCAGTTTTTGCCTACCGTCAAGGAGAGGAGATTATACAGGGGGAACATCACTGGGGGTCATTTTAGATTCTGCCTACCACAGCTGGGTTCTATTACAGCTTTATTTATAGACACTTAAGTCTGAATTGAGTAAAATGTTCACATCTAACAAATATACTTTTTAACTCTTTTTCAACCATATAAAAATGTATACACTATTCTAAGCTTATAAGGTTATATAAAACAGGCAGAGGGCTGGATGTGGTACAGGACCTGTGGTTTGCTGACTCCTGGGTTAGAGGATCAGATAAACAAACCCTACAGGAACACCAAAAGAGTAATTTTCATAATACCCCACAGAGTGCCTTCTTCACAGTAGGTATTCAGTGAGGGCATGAATGAACAAATGCTGGGTTCCAGAAAAGACTGAGGAAATAAAATGCACCCCAAAAGTCCTGGTACAGAGTCTACTGCTGTGAGTAGAGTAAAAATAGTTTTACTTTTGAATATGAGACCAGGCATGACCTAGGGGAGGCCCAGGTGGCCCAGAGCTCAGACCGGAGCACCATTTTCCTTGGGCTCCAAAGAGAAAGCACTGTAATTACAAGGGTTACATAACAGTTAAAGTCTACCCAGCACACTTTATCTTATTACTGGACTAAAAAGCCAAGCAAAACTCAGCAGTCTCTCTCTCAGATGCTGGACTTTGGATCAGAGGCTTGTCTGGCTGGGCAACAGTGCTATAGTCCATCCGAATGTCACTGAATTTCTTGGTAAATGAATCAGGTGGGAATGGCTTCGACCATGTTGCGAGTCAAATGTATAGAAAATACAGGGCCAAAGAGAAAATTTAGCACTGCTGGGTGAGATCTCTTATCCAGTACTAAAGGACCCATCCCCAGCATTTTTTAAATGGATATATTCCCTGGGATGATGGGGAAAATCAGAGTATTGGCTGAGACCATATCAGAGGAAGAGTATTCACTCTGGAAAATCTGGGAGAGAGTGTTCCAGTCCATAAACTACCCAGAACCCCAGATTCACAGAATGTTAGGATAAGAAGGAATCCGAGGGACCACCTGCTTCAACTCTCATGTGCGGAAAGAAACCAAATCTCGAGACATTAAATTACTTTCCCAAATGTCCCAAGCTAGTTGGTAAGAGCTTAGGAAGAGCCTGTTTATTGTGATTCCCAATAAAATACTATTTGTGCTCCATCTTCTCTTCTTCATTTGTCCCAGGTCCTCACATTTTTGTGCTGGTTAGCATTTTGGCCAGAATTGTGCCAGAAAGTATTGCTCCTTGCTGCTCCTCCCACTGTCACAGCACCTCCCTGGGCTGTTGTCACTTTTTGCCTTGTATTTTACAACCCTGAAGAAGGTGCTCCCTACCTAGATTCTCTTAGGTCATTCTTTCCTGGCTGCTATTTTACATAACACATCCAGGCTGCTGGTAAAGAATCAGAGCCTTGAGAGCAGCCTGGTTTGGTTTGGGCAGAGTCTAGTTTAGGTCAGAGCAATCCTTGCATTAAATATCAATATCCAAAGAAGATGGGAAGAGGTTTCTAAAATATTTATTTGTATTTCTAATTTATGGCTCAGTTTTCCTTAAAATGAAGAGGTCTGATTGCTCTGTGCCACCCTAGCAATACCCTAAATCTTTGGAGAATATGCTTCTTGTTGGATCCCTAGCAGGGAAGGACATCTTTCCTTGTCCAATCTGTCCTCAGTATCTTAGGGCCCCCTGGGGTTTCCTCCCCATTCCATGGGGATGTACTTAGCCCCATCCCCAGGCCTCCTGTACATCAGCTTTTGAGACCATAATCTAGGAGCCTTAAGTGCTGAGCTCCCACCACGGAACTCTCCGGACTGCAATTCTCCAAAACCCTTCTCTCGTGCAAGGCCTCAGGATGGCTCAGGCAGGATCTCTAATGGTTTCTGTGCCACTGGTGCCCATCCTCCGTTTCTGCTTCTTGGTCTTCCTTGGTCCTGCTTGCTATCCCTCCATAGCATGATAGGGAAGTCATAACCTCTCACCAGCACAGGGTCCTTCCAGCTCTCTACCAAAATTGTGTCCAATTGTCTGCACCTTTCCCACCATCAGCTATGAGGATGTGGAGATTTTTGTTACATTTGGCACTGCTCACTGGGCTTTCTCTTCCTTTCACTGTTAAAACTCACCTGTTAGATCTGCCTTGCTGTGATTCTGATACTGTCTCCTGTGTCACCACTCTTACCCAACGCACTCTTTTTGTCCCCCAGAGCCACTACTCATGAAGACCATGGACTAGCATGCCTGGGTAGGTGCAGAAGACCCTGCACAATTGACATCAGGAAGTCACCTACAGAGAGCTCCCTCACTGCTAAGGGTTCCAGGAACCAACTCTGCTGTTTGCTCGCTCAGGTGGGGCCTCTGCCCCCACCCGCTACCCAGGGCACCATCGGTGGGGATTAGGAAGCGGTCTCTGTCCCCCCATCCCTCTCCACATGCATCACAGATGTTTCTTAAGGAAAACTACTGCAGCCTCACAGCTGCCAGTTCTGAAGGTCCTAGGACCCCCATTCTGAGGCTCCTTGCTGGACTCACTGTCCTCCATCCTCCTCTTTCCATTTTCCGAGGACAACTGCATTCATGCAATGAAAGCAATGCCTGTATTGTTGAAGCCATGGCTGTCTTCACACACAACACTGACCTTTCTCTTCTGGATCCTGTAACATGGGTCCTGAGTATTCTGCTCCTCTCTTAGCAGGAGAACTCCTGTCTCAGTTCATCCTACAGGAGGGATACAGGCACTTCCTGTTATTATTTTTGCCCAGAAGTGTTTTGAACCTTTCAAAAAAATCTTTTTCCTCTTTTATAAACAAAAATGCTATGCTCGACCACCCAGCAAAATCTTGACATGATCTTCATAGGGAGATGAGACCCTGCCCCCATCAGGTGCTCCCTCAGAAGGCTCACTCACTGATGCCGATTCCCTCCAGCTAAGAGAATTTGTCAAACTTTACTTTGTTTGCTTACGTTACAGGAATAGCAGACTTATATTGGTTCTCAAGTTATGAAATTTTACTATAATATGAAACACCTTTTTATTTTTAAGGGATACATACATTTCCTTCTAGAAATGCTGATACCCATCCATAGGAACTTTACCTATTTGAAAAACAAGGCTATAAGATGTCAGGGTAACAAAGGGAAGGTGTGAAGGCCACACGAAGAACAATTCTGTGGGACCCAGAGAGAAAAAGAAGAGTCCCATCATGAAACTATCTTTTTGAATACTTTTCTGGCCAAATAGTGTTCTCAGAAATGGGTATATGTTCTGTCTCAACCTGCACACCAAACCCATTAGGTTAGAAATAGCACATCTCTGCATGGTATGCAATATACTGCCCAAATGAAAACAGTTTTCACCCCAACTCCAGAAAAATCCTGCTTTATAAATTTCTTGTTTCTTATGCAATGTGTTTAATATGATGCTCTCCTATACCAGCTCATCCATTTTGTCAGTTGCCATTAGTAGATCCTTGAGAAGCAATGCAAAGACCTCCAATCCACAGAGCCTGACTACAGGCATATGTATGAACTCAGAGCCCCCAGCTAGGAGCAAGGAAGGGCTATATTGTGTGTATTTCGGGGGTGGGAAGTGGGACCCGATAGAATCCCAGAGATCACAGATTGCAGGGCTCTCTTTGAACATGATCATTTTTTAAACTTTGCCTCTCCCTGAGCAATAACAAGGTCGGAGACGCAACATAATCCCAGGGTATGAACAGGCATGAGGCTTCAATTGCTCCAGCTAGCAGAGGTAAGAAAAGACTACCAATATGACAACTCCACAGACATACGGCACAAGGGATCATTACCCAGGCCGGTCAACTCTGCATGGTCTAATCTGCCGTGGCCCCGTAAAGCACCAGTGTATCGTTTAACACAGCTGGACCTACTCTTCAGAAGCACATTGCTATGGCTAAGGTTGTGCTGACCTGAAAGAAAAGAAGAAAAAGAGATGGTATTAATGGCTCCCTTTCATGTCAACAGGATTTAATGAAAGAGGAACAGAGGGCTTTGTCGTTTTTCAATGCCCCCAAACCTTACCATGTAGCCAGGATATTTGGGGTTCTATTTAGTATTTGATTTGAGTTTTAATTATTTTAGTAATAGACAAAGTAAAAGCTGAGTAAATCACGTGCATTAAAATCCTGAAAACCTTTTCCAACCGAAAAACAGCAACTTTTCGCCTACATTCTACATGAGGAAAAACGAATGTTTCAATGAAGCGTCCCAAATTCTTAGATGAATCAGAGATAAGGAGCTCCCACCAGCAACTTCAGTGTCACTGGCCCAATTTAGCAGTTTGGGCTTTGGCAGCAGTCCCACTGACAGGACAGAGGACTCTTTGGGAAGACAGGCGATTTGAAATGCAAGTGTTATTTATAAATTATCTCCAGATGGTCCAGTTCCTACAATTCCTAAATTGCTCAGAATTTCAGAGTGGAAATTTTAATCATAGACATTTGAGGTTGATTTGGTCTAAGCTGGGGACAATTTTGAGAACTCAAATGACAAAAAGAAGGCAAATGAGTCTGTCCCAGGACTGCTCAGGAGACTTGCCCTTGCTCGTGGCGTCTTGGTTAATCAACACTTGCCTCCTGCTTTACAGTCGCAAAGCCCTTTCCTCACACTCCCAGAGGGCCCTTGCCCTTTGCACCTGGGAGGAACTGCTGAAAATACCCTCTAAGGAAGGAACCAAACTGAATAGTTAATTTACTGTTAGAGCATATCCCGCCCCCCACCCCCCAGGACAGGATAGGTATTAGAATTCCCATGCTATCTGTTTCTCTCAAGTATTTCTCAGCATCAGGAGCTAGGTCCGATCTATACTTGGACATCTCCACGGCTCTCTCCCCACACCTCCCTCCCTCCCCTTCCTCCTTTCATTTCTCCCTCTCTCAATCCCTTCTCTTTCCCTTCTCTCCCTTCCTTTCTCCCTTCTATCCTTCCATTGTTCTTCCCATTATTTCTTCCATTTATCTAACAATTGTTTATTAAGCACTTACTATGTGCCGGGCATGGGGTTGGGTGCTGATCAGAGGTCAAAACACACTTTCTTCAGATACCAGCAGACAAAAAAATAGTACCTGAGTCCTCCCTCATCATAGAGCTTTGTAGAATCACATCAATTCCAGTCCATGAGAGTCCATGTATGCAAAAGAAAAAAGCCTTACCATATTTACTTCTACCAATGATGAATTCAAGATTCTGAGGGAAGATGATCTGCTCAAGATTATAAAATTACAAAGGAAGTTGGCGGGGGGGAAGCTCTCTTAGGCCTCCAGACACAGTGGCCATGATTCTTCTGTGTATAATTTTGGTTTAGCTGAGGAAAAAAGAAGAAACGGAGGGATGGTCATGTGTTACCAGGCCTATTCAATGGCTTTAAATCATAGACAATGCTGGGCTCAAAGCAGACATTTAGACTTTAGAATAAGTGATCCAGAGGATCATTAAGAAGGGATGTTCATTATTTCTCAGGTTCATTGACTTGTACGGATAAAATACATAAAAACTGGACAAGAACAGTTACCTAAAGAATAAAATGACTGAGATAGCAAGGAAATCATAGCAACATAGGTAATATAGGTATGTTATTCATCTGGAAGGCTAATTGCTGGCATCATACATGCTTGTATAACTGATTTACAAATTAATTCTCTAGGAAGAATAATACAGTGGTTATTCTAGCAATGATGATTGCCACAGATACAAGAACGCAATAATGAAGAAAGTTGGACAGAGGTAGCCCAGGGGCTTTCAAACTCTAGCACACATCAAAATTGCCTAGAAGGCTTGTTAAGACATGCATCAATAAATAGGCTCACCCCCAGAGTTTCTGATTTAGTAGGTGTGGGGTGGGGCCTGAGAATTTGCATTTCTAGTAAGTTTCCAGGTAGAAATTGATGCTGCCCCTCCATCTGGGAGCACAGTGAGAATCCTGAGTTAGAGACCCGTTTGGGGAAGAGCAAAGATGGGTGCAAGAGGCACATGACTGAATGTAGTGGGTATCCGGTGTTGGGACTTTGAGAAAGGATGTGGATGAGGTCATAGAGAACTCTGAGAGCCAAGAAAGAGAAGGGAAGGCAAGGGAAGGGAAGGGAAGGGAAGAAGGGAAAGAAAGAAAGAAGAAAGAAAGAAAGGGAGGGAAGGGAAGAGAGAGGGAGGGGGTAGAGAAGAAGGAAGGGAGGAAGGAAGGAAAGAAGGGAGGAAGGAAGGAAAACTTTTCTAAAGCAAGAGAGAGACATTAAATGTTTTGATGAGAAGCATAGTGGATGTCACAACCTGTGTTTTGGAAAGATACCTAGTGACAGGTGAGGGCTTTGGGTCTCTTTGAAAGCAGAAAAATTTGGGCAGAATCTGTGGCTATCTGTATAATTTCTTGATACAGTAAACTGAAAGATAAATTAAGTGAAATGATACAAAATAAATGGAAATAGTTTTTAAAAAAACAGTAGTATAATCTAATGACATAATGCTATTGATTTATTAAAATATATTTTTAATTTAAGCAATATATATACTTTTTATTAAGATTTTGGGAATTACAAAAAAAGAGAGGAAAAAAAATCAGTCATCCATATTCCCACCACCTCCACACAAACTCTAGTAATTTTTTTTCAGTATTTCTTTCTTTTTAAGTTTATTTATTTTTTTAGTCATCTCTACACCCAACGTGGGGCTTGAACTCAAGACTCTAAGATCAAGAGTCACATGCTCTTCCAACTGAACGAGCCAGGTGCCCTAACCAATAGTGTGTATTATCTCTATTGTCTCTTCATCTTTTTTATGCCCAAGAACATTTTGCTGCGTTGTGACCACAATATAGATAAAAGTTTTTTCCTACCTTATTTTATACACATTATTTTCTTAAATCACTGTAAGCTTTTGCTAAACACAATTGCCAAACACATATGCTACAGCAGATACTGCTGTTTACCTGTCTAATGGTCCGATTCCAGATTTTCCCTGCTGGCTGAATCCAGTATTTTTTGGCCTCCACCTCCTTTATTTGATGTAAGTAAATCTTCATTAATATAAAACAGTCAAGGTAGTTCTCTCTTAACCAGTAACTGATGTAAGGGCTTTCTTTCAGAAAGTGGCAATGTTTTTTACTTGACAGTCAAAGTTCTCCATGACTGTAGTAGTTTGAAAAATGGACACCAGAGCTATCAGGTCCTAATCCCTGGACCTGTAAATGTCACCTTATTTAGAAAATGGGTCTTTCCAGATGTGATTAAGTTAAGGATCTTGCTGGATTATCTGCGTGGCCCTAACTGCCATCATCAGTTTCCTTATAAGAGAGAGGGTTTCCACAGCACACATGCCAAAAATGGAATACTATAGAGAAGATAGCATGGTCCTGCACAAAAATGACAAGCGAATTTGTGAAAAGTTCCACATTTAAAAGAGAGAGAGAACCAAAGGGAGGTTTCACACAGGCACACAAAGGAGAAGGTGATATGAAAATAAAGCAGAGACATTTGAAGACTGGACTGAGGTGGCCACATGCCAAGGAATGCCAACAGCCCCCAGAAGGTGGAAGAGACAAGGAATAGATTCCCCCCTAGAACCTCCATAGGGAGCACGGCCTTATCAATGCCTTAATTTTACTGATTTTGGACTTGTGGACTCCAGAACTGTGACAGAATAAATTTCCATTGTTTTATATCACCGAGTTTGGTGTCATTAGAGCTGCAGACAACTAACACAGTAACTTACTCCAAATAATTCTTGAAATGTTCTGTCCCAGTTCTGGTCAATAAGACATGGTCTATGAAATGGAAGGCTCTTCTTGGAAAGATTTTCTTGCTCTTAGAAAAAGAGATGTTGCGGGAGGGCAGTCTAATTTTTCTACTAGATGTTATTGCATCTACCTATAACATTAGAACTGTGGCAGCCATCTTGTGACTATGAGGCAGGTAAACCTGAGAACAAGCCAATGAGCCAAAGGTGGGAGAGCAGGAAGATGGAAAAAAGCTTGGGCCTTTGATGACATAATCAAACTGCTTTAATTAACCAGCCCTGGGACTTTCCTATTATGAGATTTCTTCTTACTCAAGATAATCTTCTTAAGTGAGATTAATGTGATTTTTAGGCTATCCTTAGTTGGGTTTTTCCTTACTTTCAGCTGACAGCAATATACCAGATGCATTCGTCAAATGGATTACACCATAATTAAGAAATTGGCCAACTATGGGCCTGAAAACTACTGCCCGACTTTGTAAATAAAGTTTTATTGGAACACAGTCTCACTCATAGCCTGCTGTCGTTTTTTGCGCTACAATAATAAAACTGAGTAGTTGTGATGGAGATTGAATGGCCCACAAGCTTAAAATGATGCTATCGGGCCCTATCAAAGAAAGTTTGCAAACTCTTGCCATTCTTGAACACATCCATTCCTTTATTATTGCATATTGTTTTTCTAGTTTCTCTGAAAACTGTCTTCTTTACATAAATTTTAAGACCTGTCACTTGACCATATTCCTGCATACACACCAAGTGCTATACATGGACAAAGGGTCCAATAAGAAAATAACACACTCATGGAAACAATTTACAATCATCTCCTACTTCATCTGTGATCTTACCAGAGTTGGCCAACGGTTATGATCAACACGTGAGACTGCCTTTTCCACATATAAATAAGTACAGGTGATTACAAAAACTAATTCAAAACTGTAGCCTAATCGAGAAGAAAAACAAGAAAAAAAGCTTTTCTTTCCCCTTTTTAAGTTTAAATCAGCCAAACTAAACTTCCTCCAGGGCTGAATGATGTTGGTGGGATGTACATCACGGTGAATGTTATTACAGCTGAGAGAGAAGGGCCTGAGCAGTCTCCAGTAGGCCAGCCTGAAGATTCCACTTTATGGTTGCAATCCTGAGCAGGGAGAAAGCTACTATTCAGTGACTAAGGCAGGACTCAAAGCTTGTCATGTAAATGGAGCCAATTGTATATTTAATTGATGTTTTGACTCCATGCCACATTCGCTCCCTCTCAAAGAAGAAAAAGATCACTTCTTTTTAGCAGGTTCCCCATGATGCACTGCACTCCGAAGGCACCTTCCTTTAAATGATGTGCGTGGCAGGCAGTCCTGTGGTTAAATTTGTGGCTGCACACAAGCAGGTTGCAGGAGGGAGTCGCTGACCAAATAACCTTTTGAACTTGGTGGGAAGGTCAAGCTATAGCTGCTCCGGCCAAACATTTCTACTTGCTTCCTTAGAAGCTGCTCAGGGGCCTCTCTTTGGGTGCAGAAGGAGCAAAATTTTCACATCTCCTAAGTTCTTCTGGGGGCTTGCAGGATGCCCCCTGGGGCAAAACGCAAATAAACGGGCAAGGTGCATAATCTGAATAATCTTTGAGGATGAGCCAAGCCTTGTCCTTTTGTCAGGAGGAATCATCTAGAACGAGTCTGGCATCTTGGAGAGAGTCCAGAGTAAACAGTCCCTGAAGGCAATGCTCTGTAAATGCCCAGGATCTGGCTGTGCTCTAACATACACACATACAACACTCACTCGCTCACTCACTCACTCACACAATGCAATGTGCAGCAAAAACACCACCACCAAATCCTCAGGAAAACAACCAGAAAACCATTGGCTACAGTGTGCCAGACTCAGAGAATGGACAATCAGAGGCAGAAAGTTTCAAGTCCATGAATATTCAACAAGAATCAATGAAAGTGCTTTTGGAAAGCTCCCGATTGGCACTTCCAGCCTATTCCACAGTTACCTTCTTTCCAAAACATCTGATAGGGAGGCATTCTACTTCCTTTCCCAAAGAATGCTGGACGTGTGCTACATTTTCCATATCAACCATGCAAAACAATGGCTCCCCCCCACCCCATTTCTTAACTGAGACAGATACTAAATCTGTGACTGAGGAAGCACACATTTTATTGAAGGATTTTAGCTCTTATAAGATTTAAAGTAATAATGACCATTAATAAGTAACTACAGTAAATAAAAATTTTTATTTAAGAAGTTAGTATAAGAGCACTTAAAACTTCAGCATCTTGCCTTTTATAACTTCAAAAGATTTGATACATGTTGTCTGCTAACTCACATAAATTTCAATATAGAGCCTTATCAAGTGAGCAGGGATAGGGGTTCTTTATTTGATAGCAATGGAGGCTCAGAGTGAATAAACGACTTACAAAGGTTGCACTGTTTTCTTTTATCCAGGTTTAATGATCATTATTAAAATCATCTATGCTTCTAAATAAACATAAAAACTTAGAAAACTTTAGAAAATTGTTCTCATAATTAAAAACAAAACAGAACAAACTTCCAACCAAGCCTGTTTGGCAGGAAAGTGCAGGCTTT